ACCTACTGGTGATGGCCTCCGCCCTACTGGCGATGGTCTCCAACCTAATAGCGGTGGCCTCCACCCTAGAGAGGAAGAAAACCATATATATATATATGTTACATAAATATACACATATATATATATATATATCTAGACGGGTTTGTTTAAGACTGTGAGTGTTTAAACCTCACGTGTACTTTCATGCGTTATTTGCACGTCTATTTTTTACATTTTCTTCTCGGAATGTGTCGCGGAAAATACTCGTATTTTCAACTTGCGTTTTCGCCGGTCGATGTAATTACGACTTCAGAATTGCTCCACGTTTCCACGTTTCCGAGGGTTTTGGTCGGATGGCGCGATAACGTGTTCAAAGTGCGCACCCACACAGCCGAAACCTTTCGACGCTACGCGCACAATACCAGTGACTGAGAGTGGGGTGGGATTAAAACGTTCGGTTCAAGTTGCACACCCGTACAAAGGAAACGCTTCTGCGCTTTGCGCACCAATATGTATACACGAAGCGTGCTGTGTTTCGCACACATGTTTTCTTGCACACATGCGTGTTTCAAACCCGTGAGTGTTGGGCGTTGGCCTTTGATCATTTTGATCGGAACAGTGATGGAGTCATTTCTTGTCTAGGATGTGCAGGTACTTGCGAGTGAGACTAACAAGAACTCGATACGTTGCCTTCTAAACAAACGTCGTCTTTCTTTTTGCGATTTATCTTCCTAAAACAACGTAAATACTGTAACGTTTAAACAACGGCGTTTTTCACACACGTGAGTCTTAAGTACACCCGTGAGGATATATATATATATGTATTTTTTGTTTTTTAAGACTTCGTTGGACATTTTCTTTCTTATTCTGTATACCTTTGACTGCCTTTGACCGTTCTTTCTTTGATTTTCTTGCTTCTATAATGGTTCTAAAGAAGCAGAAACACAGAAGATTCACAAGAATCCCTTTCGTTAGTGTTGCTGTAAACGGACTTCACTACCTTCTTGACCCTCGTGGCCGACTGGACTTCAAAGTGACTTTACGTTTTACATAAAGCGTGCTTTATTTCTCCGACGTTTTCTTGCAGTTCAAAGGAACGTCCATACTGTTGGACGTCCGGCGTTGCACGTATTTTGCACGAAGAAACCATGACTGAGGTGAAAGGCTTTGAACGAGAAAGCTTGCGGGGACTCTTGGCGAGAGCGGCCACACTGGGCGCCAGGCAGGGTGTGAGCTGCAAGTCAAGCTGTCAAATCTCATTTGGACGTAGACATGGCACAAAATTGAGTCTTGCACTGACTCGTGTCAAAGAAAAAATAAACGGAGCTACATATGTTCTTAGATTTCAACATCAAAGCTTCAATGTCAAAGGCATGCCATGGCCTCCCTTGCAGATTTGGTCCTCCGAAACTTGGCTGGAATATGGACATCGCCAAAGTGATATTTGGAGGTTGCATGATGTTTTATGCCAATGCAATGTTCTGGCTGCAGGCGCAATCGAACGACACTGAAGATTATTGCAAAAGAGTCAAACATGTTTATTGTGCTACACCAGTTTGACATACCCGTCTCTAGTGTAGAACACTCTTACTTCAGGAGACTCCACTTCCAGTGTAGAAGAGCTGCAGCTGGCCAGCGATCACCTTGAGGCACCAAAGCAGTCGGAAAGTAGAGACAAACTTTCTTTCTTTTCTCGAAAAGACTCACATCCTTTTCGAACATCTTTTGGTGTGTTCCACTTTAGTGGCCAAAGTAGGGTGGAGGCCATGGCTAGTAGGTTGTCCTTTCTCTTTGCGGTTTGCGTTCGCTTTGACAGCATTTCTCCGCACCGATAAGGCGTTTGCAGAAGACATCCTCGAGGAACGCCGTTTGAAAGCAGCCAAAGCGCAGGAGGTGGGAATATGTGGACATGAAGAGCTCGAGGAACTTTCATCTAGATGGCCACTCTCTGGGCATTTTCACAAAGATTTAAGCTTGACAGAATCTTGTTCAGGAGTCTGAGGAAGAAGAGGAGGAGGAGGAAGAGGAAGAAGAGGCCTAAAGCCTCAAACGATTTGCACAACAAGCGCTGCTCTCCAATTCGGTGCCTTGCGCGACTGGTGTTGGGCCAGGAGATGGACCAGGAACACAATCGCCTTCACCGTCGGAGCTCTGCCTGACATGGTCCTACCTGAGCGGTGCTAGACGTTCAGCAAGAGCTCTTATGGCAATTTGTGAGCTCTTGCGCTTGTCTAGCACCACTCCAAACGGATGAACTTCCAAGAGTTTTAAACACGCGGAAGACGAGGATGTCCAAAAGCTTCAAGTCCTGGAAGTCTTGTTCCAGGTGTTTTTTACTTATTTAGACGTCTCTTTGATTACGTTTCTGTAGACTTTGTTCTCTCTTCTTTCTTCTCTGTGTTTTAGGAACTTTGGATGGGATGCCCATGGCTATGACGCTTCAAGCGCTCTTCGCCGCGCAGCAGAGCTTTTTGAAGGCCCGTTAGCGCAGGCGCGCAGGAAACGTTTGTGGGAAGCTTAGTAGAAAACATTGTGAGTTAGTAAGACACAAAATAGAAAAGAACTTATTAGCGATGGCCTCCAACCTACTAGAGCGATGGCCTCCAACCTACTAGCGATGGCCTCCAATCTAGCAAAAACATGCTTTCAGAGTGGAACAGGTTTTGGAAAGATAGTTTCTTTTTTTAAATTTGGTTTGCTTTAGGGGTGTGGGCAAAGACATGGCTCAGCGTTTTTGTTGCGGATGTCTTCGATTTAATTCACCCACAGGGAGCCACAGAGACCCACATGCCACTATGGACCTGTAGCCGGGTATTTTTCTTTATGGGGTTCAAAAAGGAAGCCAAGGAAGGAAAGGTATAGAAAAGCATAAATAAAAAACTCCTTAAAGGAAGTAGGAGAATAAGTAGGGAATATTTAAGGAGTTTGGTAAGAAAGAAAGATGAAGCGATTCGGTAAGGCAGATTTGCTGAAAGGTAGGTCTGAGGTTCTTCAGGGAAGCAACAGAATCAAAGGACCCTTTCGCAATTGATTTCGTCCTTTCCTTGTTTTAAGCCTTCTTTTACTTCTTTACAATTCTTTTCTTTTTATTTGTTCTTTTGTTTATTTTTTTTAAACATATTATCTTGATTCACAAAGAATCATCATAGCTTTTTTAGAAAACATGTGACACACACTGTATGTCATTGAGAGGGATCCACTCTTGCAGGTTCCAGACGCAGCAAGTCAAGCATCCATCCTGCGACACTTGGACGGGAATGGACTGATGCCGAGACAAGGATGTCTAAGTTTGACATTTTGGAACAAAAACACATCTAAGATGTTTGACACGGAACCTCGAACGGTGGAATCGAGGCATTCAGGAGCAGAGTGCACCTTTAGATTTGTACTTGCCTGAGGGGCAAACTGTTCCTTATCCTACTGAGGTAAACGCAGCGAAGCTGCAAAAGCCAGCTGACATCGCCAGAAAACGATTACTGAAAAAGGAGACCTTTGCAGAGGGCGGCCCCTGGCCTCACTACTAGGAACAAGGACGCTGCTAGGGGCTCCTGGCCTTACCTCAAGGGACGCACATACATTGGCATAGGCCTGAAAAGCCTTTTGGCTTGCATTGGCCCAGGCTGCTTGGCAAGCAGACGGTCAAGGCCAGAGTGTTCAAAGGACTTAATTTGACAATAGCGTGTGGTCTGGTGAACAGAAGCGGACATTTTATCTACGGACTGGGTTGGAGGCCATCGCGAGGTGTCGGCCCAAGTACCTGTCAGACGGTGCACCTGCGCAAGCAGATGACTTGGGAGGGCGCGTTCAACCCCGAGCCATGGATACACACTGTTGGTGAGGGATGTTCGATATCCCTTGCTGGACGAGCCTGGTTTTTTGATAGCAAGATGATGGCCTATAGCTGTACTACATGGCTGACTGGTCAAAAGTTTTGGTTGATTGGAGCACATCTCAAAGGCGAACGTTTTTCTGTGATCTCTGCCTGCAAGAGTTCGAAAGATGGCATGTTGTTTGTTGATGCTACCCAGGCCACGATGGTGACACATGGACCGCCTACAAGCAAATCGGCGACAGATGTGGTTGACATATGCGCTGGATATGCCATCATGACAACTGGTTACGAAGGGATTCACTGTCAAGTGCGCTGCCACGTCGAGATTAATGATCGCTATGCCGATTGGCTTCGATCCAAGCAGATCCCTGTCCTCCATGGTGACATCGACTGTGAGGAAACACTGCAGGCGTTAACTGCACACATGGACACCCCATGCATCATCACTGGGGGATTTGCTTGTCAGCCCTTTTCGTCTCTTGGTGATCAACGACACCAGCTGGACCCAAGGGCTCGGAGCTTCGAAGGTATGATCAAGACATGCTACCTTTTTCAGCCAATTGCAATGGTCTTGGAGTGCACCAAAGAGGCATTGACAGTTCCATGGGTACAGGCGACCATCCAGGCCTTCTGCCAGAGCACGGGTTACTCATGCCAGCAACAGATCTGCAATCTCCAGGACTTTTGGCCAGCACGTAGGACGAGATGGTGTGCTACGGTAGTGCACCCGGTGGTCTCCATGCCTGAGCTGCAGAAATTTCCAGAGCTGGACTTCACTCCGTCCTTTCGACACCTGTTGCCTGTCATGCCACAATGGCCTGACCATCAAGTGCAAGAGATGAGCCTCTCTGCCCATGAGCTTGAAGCATTCGCTGAGCAACCAGGGGGGTTGGGGAAGAACGCCGTGAGTCCCACCAAGCCACTGGCCACTGCTCTCCATGCATGGGGGTCTCAAGTCACGGCATGCGCTTGTGGCTGTAGAGCTGGAGGTTTTTCCCCCCAAAGGCTGGCTGACAAGGGCCTTTTTGGGGCCCTGATTCCAACCACAGGTACCACGACAGTTCGAGGGATTGAGATTCCCAATATGAGACACATCCACCCTGATGAGGTAGCCATCCTGCACATGGTGCCCCCGACTCACCTGCAGACCGACCAGAAACGAAGTCTTAGGTTAGACCTGTCAGCCCTGGGCCAAATGGCCGCACCGGCTCAAGCTCTATGGCATGTTGCACAGGTTGCCCAAGCCATCGATCGCACATTCGGATCGCATTCGTCAGGTGCCTTGGCCTTGGAGGGATTACAGCAACTCGCTCTCGCATCGTTCGAGGCCAGAGATCGCATGCTGCAGCCGTTTGAACACACCAAAGAATCTGTTCTGTTTCAGGCCGCAGTGTTGACCAAGCTAGGCATCACATACGATGCTCCAGTCGTGCATGGCCCCAAGATTGTGGCATCGGTAGCTAGTGAGCCTCAGCCTCCAAAGGAATCACACAAACGCAAAGCTGCCCAAGTTGAGCCAGCTGCACAGCCATGTTTCGAAGTCCCAGGTGTCTCTGCCACAGGTGGAATTGAGATGTTTGCCAACAAGGCGTTGTCGTGCTTTGAGCGCCCGATCACACCCCATCCCAGGAACTCAGTCCTGATGCCAGCTGAGGTGGGCGTTGACCCAGCTACGGCCACACATGCCGTCAGTGGCCCTAGTGCCTTGGCCAGGGGAAAAGGAAAAGGGGGGGGGGCCGTGCCCACGGAAGGCCCCGCAGATCAGATTCCCTCGCAGATTCAAAGGTCCAGGTCTGCCAGCACGTTCGATCACCATGAGATTGATTGTGAACCCACTGAGCTCAACCCAGACTGTCTCAAGCTTTTGCCCGCCGATTCGTTCACAGTCACCGTTTACCTGCCTGATGGTACCATGACATTAGTGAGCACACACGCAGGGGTCACCATCGGACAGTTGTCCCAAGCAGAAGCCGGTCTCAGGTCCTTTGAGCAGCCTATAGTCATCACCACCTTGTCAGGAATCCCGATTCCCCTGCGGAGCCTGTTGGCCCCAGCAGCCTGGTATGTTGTCGATGATGGAGCATGTCACACAGTCCCTACATGTTCGCAAGTTCACTCAGGCCAGATCCTCAGCCTTGTGCCCGAACGCCAAACTCGCGTGCATGGACTGATCACCCAGGGACCACTGGTAGCAGTCGACGAAATGTGCTTCTACTCGGGCTTGCTCCGCAACCAAGGCAACGAAGTAGGGGACCCGATTGTGCTTGACCTCCAGGATGACACAAATCAACAGTTGGCCACATGGGCATTGCAGTGTCTACAGGCAAATGAGGAAAACTCCAGCCGGACCACGTTCATGGTACCCACACTGTTTGCCAGCCATTGGAGTCCGATTGCGCTACATGTACAACCACACAGCACAGTCATGCATGTTCCTGTTGACCTGGAGGTATCCGTTCAACGGCAAGTAGTTGAAGCTTGTGGGCCATTCGAGTTCACATTCAAGTCATTCGTACTGCCGACCAATTTCCCTGCAGACTGTGGATTTCAAACAGTGAGCTGGATGTTTGCACATGCCATAGGTACCGAGAGTCCCAAAGCCACCATCCCGGCCCAGGCAGATCACTGGAGAGCTTTGTTTGCACGCCATGTCATCAAGCAGGAAGTGCGAGTCACGGAGGTCATCCGACTGGGGGGGGCGGTCAACCCTGACCAATTGCTCCTCCAATCATTGCTGAAGCAACATGGGGTTCACCAAGACCGACTGGCGACTTGTGCCACAAGTCTGATTCAGCAACTGGGGGCCGATCTCATCACAAAGATCCTGGGTAGTCCGCATCCATGGAAAGATCTCAAGACAGCCGCCACACAGGCCAATCCCCCGATTCGAATCGTCCTCGCAGCCGAAGTCGATGCAGCAGTCAAAGCCCGGTTGGCCTCTGGTAAACCAATGGGGTCCAAGGCGAACAAACAGGCCTCGGTGAAAGGCCCAAAGCTACCGGTTATTCCCACTGCAGAGCAGATCAAGTTGCCGGATGCCATTTTCATACAGCAAGACGGGACAAAGATGTCCGCACTTCCGCTCCACAAGGTCGAAGCTCATGCACAGGGGGTAGCCCTCTGCAATATTGGGGAAGTCGCACACCTGTTGCACCTGACAGCGCCGATATCCGCCGCAGGTCTGGCCCTCCTCATCCTGGACCACGCAGACCCGAGACTGCCATCTCATGCCGAATCGATCAGGGTCCCGGCTATGTCGGCCTCCACCGGAGAGCCTATGCTTGTCACGGCTGCCTTGCTTCAGCTCGGCACACAGGTAGTCAGCCGACATGTCCCGGTCGAAAGCTTCGCGCTCGAGGAAATCCAAACACGGGTTCTTAAGGTGATCGTCTACAAAGATGAATGGCCAACTCCGTGGGCAGGGTTCATCCAACACCCGGTGAAGGCAGTGTTCGAACACCACCTCATGCAGCATGAAGCCTTCCCGCAAACCGAACACATCCTGGATGTTTGGGATAGGCAATCACTGGATGCCAAACTAGCTCGCACTCCGATTGGACAAGCTGAAGTTTTCGCCTTCCTCGTTCGGGTGACAGAGAAGTTTGCGGACCACCTCATGCCCAGTGCAGCAGTCGACGGCATTTACTTCGAACCCAGGACCATGGACGGCCGCAAACCGGCCCCACAATTTCATGTGATTTGGATGCCGCGCAAGACCTTGGCCGAAGTTCGATTCGCTAGAAGCCAAACGGAAGCAAAGACAACCATAGTTCGCATGGGCCCCAGACTTGGCCTCCGAGTCAGCCGAGAACATGCCGAGCAGGTCCACAAACAGCACCGTCCCGATTTGATGTTTCTGGATGGACAAGAGCTCCGACCATACAAGGTGGGACCTTTCCCGTATGGCTCCACCAAGGCCTCGCTGTCCAAGGGGTTCAAGCACCTAGGCTGGAACGCCCGACCTGTCCAGCCCATTGCTCAGATGCAAGTCCATGAAGGCATCTTCTGGCAAGTTATGGCCCCTCAGGAGCCGTCCCACTGGATCTACCAAATGAAGCACGGCGACATCTTGATTGCCAAGATTGAAGACCAGCGAGAAGTGCCGATCCCATCCTCCAACAACATTATTGCCTCCAAGAAGACCATCGCCAACCTGACTCACACAGGTCAGGCCAGCGGAGTAGATCCATGGCTCACTCAGGATCCATGGCAAAGCAGTAAGAAGTCAGTCCAGCACACGCCACAGCCATCAGTTACGCCAGTGCAACTGGCAGCCTTGGAGCAGCGGTTGGAGCAAAAGATCCAGGCCACCTCGGCCGATCCTAAGGAAGAACAGATGCAAGTCGATCAGAGTGCCCGCATTGAGGCATTGGAGCAGCAGGTACATTCGCTGACACAGAATTTTTCCTCCTTCCAGCATCAGCAGCAGAAAGTCAATCATCAGATCTCGAATCAGCTTCAGGGATTTGAAGGGAGGATTGACGCCAAGCTGGAGGATCAGATGCAACGCATCGAGTCTTTACTTTCGAAAAAGATGAGGCATGAGTGACTAGGGGTCCACATGCCACCAGGGGTTTTCCAGTCCGCAGTGCAAATCGGCCCGTCGATGCATGGTCCTGAGCTTTTGTTACTGCCAAATTCACAGTCCG